AAATATTACGCTTACGCAAACTTGCGGCGGGTCTGAAAACTTACGAAATATTATGTAAAATTACGAAATATTGCGAACCGCAAAATTACGGAATATTACAAATTGTAAAATTACGAAGCTTTGCATATCGTAATATTTCGAAATATTTTAAAAAGTTACAAAATATTATGCTTACGCAAACTTGTGGCGGGTCTGGAAGCTTACGAAATATTATGATGTGTAAACTTGCGCAACTTTTCGCACTATATAATTTCCTGATGTTCCGACAGATGATCAGATGAAATCCTAACTTGTTTCAGACATTTCAGAAGTTTCAGATCTGGGGGGGTAAAATAAAAACTTTTTCTGGGAGGTATGTCCTCTGCTAACTTTTTCCAAAATAACTGAAACATCTGAAACATCGAAACACCCTCTCTGATTCTATCGTATTTTGCTCTTTTTTCCCTTATTTTATCCTTTTTTGCTTATATTATTATGTTTCAGATCTTGTTTCAGATTGTTTCAGATATATAGGGGATTCATATCCCACGAAGAGGGGATGTAGGTACTGCGAGGCCGCTAGGCCGAGGTGGGTGAAGCGGTAGCGATACTCACTACCAGCCCGATGACTTCTCCCCTATACTGTCCGGCCAGTTATTTGGTTTGTCTGAATACCTGTCTGAGGGCCTGCTGTCCTACCCATTGCCCGCTTGCTATCCGCTTTTGGAAAAACCCGTTAACATTGTTAACAGATTTCATATCACGTGATAATTCAGAAAAACTGTATCCTAAGGATATGATCGGGAAGCTGACAGGTTCTTGTCTTGGGTGTTGACTGGGCTGAATATCTTAATTAACTAGGATGGCCCACCAGTCAGCAAAACGGTTTTTGGCATGGCAGCCATAGCCGGAGAGCAGTAGGACTGCAGTAGGACAGCAAGGTTTCAGACATGTACGCATATAAGCCGGATACCCTATCGGAGAAGAATATTCTGAAAATTATCAGATATACAGAAATGATCTATCATTGTGGATGCATTGGACGATTATCTGAAACCTCCAGATCGTTAACTTGGTTAACTGTTTTTCTGAAACACGTGACTGATTTTCCGACCGCAGGACCGCAGGAGTCATCATGTCCTGGAGATTTCTTGGCAGATTTCACGGACGAGCCCCTGCGAAAAAATACATACCTTGCATTTGAGTATGCACTGAGTTCGTCAAGTAACCCCTGCTCACAGTCATTACACCGCAGTAGCAAGGATAGTCCGTATTCATTCCCAATTCAGCTGGTTCGGTGTTGATCACATCGACAGGGGCCATTAATTCCGAGATCTACATGAGCTAGTCAACTTGCGTATATAACACCATGCTAAAAGGGTATAATTTACCGTAAGCCGAAGGGTCATGGTCATTAACCGCAGTGACGTGGAACATTAACAGATTTGTCGTGGGAAAGGGGCTTTGAAAATTGAAATATAAATACAGCTATATATTAATTTCAAGAGTGGTATACGAAGAAATGGTTAAACTTTCCGCTGAGGGAATAAAAAGTTTGCACGATACGGATTCTCTTGTTCAATGTTTAAAGGAAGCGGGCTTGAATAAACGTGCTCTTGATTTTCTTCAAGAACAGCACATATCTGGTGAAGATTTTCTTGAATTAACTTATAATGAACTCGACTCTCGTGGTCTGGAGTTGGGACCAATGAAGTCCATTCTGCGAACGATTGATAAAATAAATAAGACTGAACAAGGTAAAGAATTATAGTCAAGATTAAGACTTCTGTACAATGATTTTTAACTTCTGGATTATTCATTTATCCTATCATAGTAAATAACGATATCGACGAATCGCTCATTCAATCTTTCGAAGAATTTAGCGTAAAGGAAATAGCTGCAGGTAATTGCTATGCAGATTTTTTACTTTGCATTTATTGTACAGGAGTTGGTTGTAATTAACGGTCCACGTACACAGAAACTCATAAAGGGTATTCAGAATCAACTCTAAAACAATTATGCGAGAAAAACATACTAAAAAAAAATGACCGATTATATTATAGGAGAAGGTTTGGTCCACAAGCAAATAATAAAATTGTTTCTTGTCTGTGTAGGATTGAAAAGGCTGATAACGACGGCCTATCAGTTGTTATGCATATTAAGGATGAGAAAAGATTAGGGCAGAAACTTAGTAGTATGACCGACCTTGAAAATAAGATTCTAGACGAAATCTATGAAGTCGACAAAAATAAGAGCGTGCCTAAAGATCAATGGCCTAAAGTATTTGATGAGCCTTTTGATCATTTTGGTTTCCTCCGTCCTATGACTCTGTCGTCTTTTAAAAAAAACCATGGATAAATAGAGCGATAATACATAAGAATCTAATGTCTACTAGTGAATCATGTAATCGAATGGTTATGAAAACATATTAAAGTTCGTTAATGACGACATATTTTTACTGCGTGTACAAAAAGCGTAGCGCGTGGCTAAATATCATGTTTTTATTAATTGGGATGCAACTCGCAATCCACGTTTTATACATAAATAGCATCTTGTTCGTACGATTCCCCATTGAGAATATAGGTGGCACTTTCGAACTTTTAACTCAGGACAAAATTACGCATATGGTTTAATCGCATTATTTAATAAAGTACCATTTTGCATATAATCTATTGCTCGACCATGTGACTAATCGCAGCCGCAGCCGCGCCTGTGATATATGCGAAAATAAATACAGTGGTTTAGGTTATTACCCGTGATACATGACTAATTTTCTATCCTAGCTGAGTCGGGCTTCTGCGCCTCCATACAATATGCCCAAGGACCTTTTCCACCTTAGTTTCCAAATTCTCGTCTTTATATACAACCACCATCAGTTCCGATAGTTTGAAGTTTGGCCTGTCTTGGTCATCCATTGTACATTCCATGAAATAGAATTTTTCAGCATCAGTAACTATCCCAAAAACTCTTCTGAAAGTCGGTTGATCCTCTTCCATTTCATTAATCTTGCGCTTACGATTCGATAATGATGACTCGAGCTGAACCACGCATTGAGTAACACCTTTCACAAAATCATCTTTTTTTACCTCTGTGACTCCAACCGTTTTTGCTGTTTGGCGCAAGTCAATCGTGAAATCGAGAGGTCCATGTCCATTCAGTCCAAAAATGACTTTTTGAGGGCGGATCTCAAATGTCGAGGCGGGATTTTAATTCTGCCATGAGTCCTTCCATCGATTCCTGGGATGGTTTAACATTACCACACGAGAAAACAGGGAAGACTTCCATTGTTGGATCATCTGATTCACCAAGCCCGTAAAGCTGACACACCTTTGGGAATGTCCAATCTGAGAAAGCTTTCAAGGGAGTCTCTATGACCACAGTAAACTTAAGATTGTTTTTTGATACTAACAAGCGTAACATATCTCGGAATGCGACATCGTTCCTGGGTGAACTTCTTCCTGAGCCGTCTTTCATGAAGTTGAGTTCCGCTCCATCATTTTCAAGCGCAGGTGGATGGTACATATCGCAAATTGATGTTTTGATGTCTTTGAGGGTTGCTTGTTCGATATTCACAGACCATTGGTATGCCTTTCGTTTTAGACTAACAACGACTTTGAACTCTACAATGCAACAGCCAGGTTAATAACAATTCTCATAACCTGAAGATTTCACCCGGGGACCCCGGCCCAAATTTCTTTGCAAAACTTTTCACATACCATGCACAGACTTGTTGAGTAATGCCTGTAGCGAAGCAACTTGGTCAAGTAATTCCTGTTCGCGGCGAGAAGAAGCAGTAGTCGAGACAGGTAGTTCAACTAGGATGTGAATATGTTCACCTTTGACCTGTACAATTCGTCCTTCAGCTGGAGGCTGGGGGCTTCTATCGGAAAAACCGTTCCCTCGGGGAATGATCGGGGAACTTTGAAAAGTTTGGAAGAATTCAGAAAAACTGTTAACTTAGTTAATGATTGGGAGGGATAATTCGGAAAAACCTGTCCGCGGACAGGGTCCTGTCTTGACTGGCCAAATCCTGCGGCGGGGCTCTGACGAGAAGATTATCTGGCTAATAGTTGACATGGTAGACTCCAATTCCTGCCTCAGGGCGCAGTACCCCGAGAGGGTGAAAGTTTATGCGGCTAGGTACTTCCCCACAGAGAAACACTGTGTCAGGTGGAATGAGATCCCGCTGGTATACTACGATGAGGCTGACTCCTCTGGCCTTCCTACTCATACCCAGTCAACAAGCAGGCATCAGCCTGGCCACAGGGCTTGACTCCCTGGCCTTCCTACTGATCCTGAGAGGATGCAGGTTGTTAGTTCTCATTGAAGATCTTACCTGGTCAGCCTCCTATCAATACCCAAGACAGGAACCTGTCCGCCAACAAGCAGGCATCAGCGGGCCGTGAGTGTCATTCTCCTGTAAGGATGAGGGTTGTTCTTATCGAAGGTCTTGCCTGGTTGGCGTCGTGGTTGTGTCCATGTATTCATGCAGTTACACTGGCACTAATATTGCATTAGAGTCCAGACTCAAATTGTACGACAGGATGGATGCCAGGTCGGTGCGACGTATTATCTCCACTTCTGGTTGATGGAGGTCGAATGACCCTGTGTAATGGGTATGGCTGATCAGAAAGTCATGCGTGGAGATTTTTTCCTACCAGCCTCACTGCGGCAAACAAGGGATATAACAGGTTATCGTAAGAAAGACGTAAATTGAAATACAAATACGACTACTTGATTTTAAGGATGGATTTATTCATAGACAAAACTGTACTTTCTGTCAAAGAAGTTGAGAGTTTTCAGGATACTCCCTCTCTCGTGCAAGGTTTAAAGAATGCGGGAGCGAACTTGAATGGACGTGCCCTACAAAATGGTGAAGAACTGGTAGAAGAGACTTACTCAAGTTCAAGTGAGTGACGAGAATACCTTTATCATTTTTGTCATACATCCGAAGGCGTATTTGTGCGCAATATAACAGAGGGGGTACCTGGGAAATTGAAATATAAATACGACTATATGTGTCATTAAGGATGAGTTTATCAGTATATGAAGAAACTGTATCTTCTGCAAAAATGACCAAACCTGCCATCGAAGAATTTGAGAAGTATGATATAGATGCGTTTATAAAGTTTCTACAGCAACAGGGTGTAGGACTTTCGCAGGATGATCAAGATACACTTAGACGAGAGGGCATCAACGGAAATAACTTCCGATTACTATCTAGAGATGACCTTTGGAAGAAATTCAAGTTCACCATGGGGTAACTTTGAAAATCGAAAGAGAGATCCAAAAGCTCAAAACTCGCTTTATCACAAGACCTTAAACATTTTGCAAAAATAAGTGAAATACCTACAGGTAGCTCTCACTTGTCCTGCGGTCCTGCGGTCCTGCGTTATTTTTTCTGAGTACGAATGCTGACATGAGCAACGATTGGGTCCTCGAACATTTTCGTTATCATGTAATATCTTTCTACTGTACGTCTCCAGTGTTAAATAAAATATAGTATACTGGATGAGTATTTTTCATGTGTTATCCCACTTGTCCTGTTATTGTTTTATGTGTCGTACCCCATATCCCGCAAACTACAGCTGCCTATCTACGGGCTGCATCCCGAACTCGCTCGTCCATTAATAAAGTTTCTTCACATTTACCGCATAACATTAAATAGTTCTTGACGTGTATAAAATTTTCATAATGTCGGTTAGCGAAGCAAACCCATCTGAACTTGAAGTATTGAGACAACGTAACACTGAGCTTGAAGAGAAGATGGTTGAGCTTAATATGTGGAGGCGACTCGCTCTTCTTAACGATAAAAAGATTACTGAGCTTAAGGATTAAAGTGCTAATCTCGTGTTCGAGAATCTCGATCTTAAAAACAAGATTGCGAGGCTCGAGCAGGAACACTTGATTGATTTGGGCTACCTGTAATGCACTAGTCAAAATCATTTCTTTCGGCATTAATACCTTTCGTCAAAAGTTTGTCATCGTCATCACGTGATTCGTCAAACATTCGGCAAATTATAAAAATCGAAAAAAAATTTAGCATAAATCAGCTGGTCGATTTTTGGTTGATTTTTGATTGAGTTGTAACGTAAAAAAAAAAACCATAAATCGACCAATATTTTTTTTTGATCAATTTTTATTAATAACAACAATCGACTTGCCGATTTTTAACAATCTTATAAATGAATTTTGAGTCATAATTAATTACGAATTATGAGGGTCAAAACAGATTACAAGGGTTGAAATAAGATTTCAGTTTTTATTATTTTTTTATTATTATAATTTATAATGTTGTATTGTTTTATTGTATGTTTATTTTATTGTAGTCACTTTATTATTTCACTAAACTTACATAAATTATATAATTAAAAATAGTTATTTTAAATTATATGTAAATATTATATATTTCAAGGTTCGTCGACAACCTCTTATACACATCTAGATGTGTATAAGAGACAGGTTTTATTGTATGTTTATTTTATTGTAGTCACTTTATTATTTCACTAAACTTACATAAATTATATAATTAAAAATAGTTATTTTAAATTATATGTAAATATTATATATTTCAAGGTTCGTCGACAACCTAAAAAAAAAAGAAAATAGAAGAAACATTAGTACGTTTCTTCTATGTATTAAAAAAAATTCATCCCTCACTTCCCGCTAACCTACTTGCAACGGTTTTAAAAACCGGTTTTAAAGTTTTTTTTTAAAAAATAGAAAGAATAACGGTTTTAAAAACTGTTTTTGAAGTTTTTTTTTTAAAAAAAATAAAAAAAAATAGAATAACGGTTTTAAGAACCGTTAAAAGAAGAAAAATAAAAATTTAACGGTTTAAAAAAACCGTTTTAACAAAAAAAACAAAAAAGAAAAAAAAAGAATAACCCGTTTTTTTTTTAAAAAAAAATTTAGATTATCCGATTGGTAAATCAAATCAGTACGACCTTCGACTGATTGATTTATGACCCCCTTTTTTTTGTAGTTTCTTTATTTAAAAAGATACTTGCTATCGCAGAATATTACAAAGACGATGATAAAGTATTTGTTATATGCCCTGCCTCAGTTTTGTTTCGGTTCTTAGGCGTTGCCACGTTGGATATATAGGTGAGTTTTCGAAGCAAAACTTTAAACTTTTTTAAAAAAATTTTTTTTTTTTTCAAAGCTAAAAGCAAAGCTTCGAAACTTTTTAAAAAAAATATTTTTTTAATTTTTTTTTCTTCTATTTTGTAGGTTTCGGATATATAGGTGAGTTTCGAAGTTAAAAGCTTCAAAACTTTTTTTTAAAAAAAAATATATTTTTTTAATTTTTTTTTATTTCTTCTATTTTGTAGGATTCGGCTTCGCGTTGAATATATAGGTGAGTTTTGAAGTTAAAAGCTTCGAAACGTTTTTTTTTAAAAAAAAAAAATATTTTTTTAATTTTTATTTCTTCTATTTTGTAGGATTCAGCTTCGCGTTGAATATATAGGTGAGTTTTGAAGTTAAAAGCTTTGAAACTTTTTTTTAAAAAAAAATATATTTTTTAATTTTTTTTTATTTCTTCTATTTTGTAGGATTCGGCTTCGCATTGGATATATAGGTGAGTTTCGAAGTTAAAAGCTTCGAAACTTTTTTTTTTAAAAAAAAAAAATATTTTTTTAATTTTTATTTCTTCTATTTTGTAGGATTTGGCTTCGCGTTGGATATATAGGTGAGTTTCGAAGTTAAAAGCTTCGAAACTTTTTTTTTAAAAAAAAAAATATTTTTTTAATTTTTATTTCTTCTATTTTGTAGGATTTGGCTTCGCGTTGGATATATAGGTGAGTTTTGAAGTTAAAAGCTTCGAAACTTTTTTTTTTTAAAAAAAAAAATATTTTTTTAATTTTTTTTTCTATTTTGTAGGTTTCAGCTTTCGGTTGGGCGTTGGATATATGGGTAAGTTTCAAAGCTAAAACTTTGAAACTTTATAAAAGAAATATTTTTAATTGTTTCTTTTTTCTATTTTGTAGATTTTGGCTTTCGGTTCTTGGGTTTTGGACATATGGATGAGTTTCAGAGTGAAAACTTTGAAACTTTTTTTAAAAAAATTACTTTTTTGTTTTTAAATTTTTTTTTTCTTCTATTTTGTAGGTTTCGACTTTTGGTTCTTGGACCTTAGATGGGTGAGTTTCGAAATTTCGCTTTTTTTTCGAAACTTTAAGAAAATTTTTAATTTTATTTCTTTTTTTATTTTGTAGGTATCAGCTGTGATATCTCCTTGGACTTTGGGTCGGTAAAGTTTCATTTTCTTTTCGAAACTTTTTTAATAAAAAACTAATCATTTCTTTCTTTTTTTTTGTAGGTTTCCACTTCGGATTTTTGGTTAGGTAAGTTTCAAAATATTTCGAAACTTAAAATTTTTTTTATTAAAGAATCAGTTTCTTTATTTTTTTTTTGTAGATTTTCCTTTGGACTTCTATTGAATGGGTAGGTTTTGAATTTTGACTTTTTTTATTGAAATAATAACGGTGCTAACCGTTTCTTTATTTTTTTTTGTAAGTTTCTCTTTCGAACTTTTGTCAGATAACTGAGTGAGTTGTAGATAATTTTGGATGAGTGGATGATGGTGGATGATGGTGGATGATGAGTAGTAAAAGATGGATGTTGGCGATGGTTGACAATGGATGGTAAATGGTAAATGGTAAATGGTGGATGGTAGATGGTAAGTGTAAATAGACAGATACTGTAGATATTAGAAATTTAATATAATATGTAATTTTTAATAAAGCAAAATAATAAAAATATAATTAATTGATTGCTATTACAAAATTAAAAATAAGCTAAATACATAAAATCGTTAATAATTAGACTCAATTTTGCCAACATTGTCGTCGGGCTGGATGTGGGAGGTGCAAGCACCACCCACCTCCGGGTCTACGACCTATCGCAGTACCTCCTTCCCCCCTACGGGGAATCAGGAATCCCCTATATCTGTCACCATCTGTCAATAACATCTGTCATATAACAATAAACTAAAAAAGGATAAAATAAGGGAAAAGAGAGGAAAATACGATAGAATCAAAGGGGTATGACAGATATGACGGATATGACAGATG